CCTAATTAATAATACTCAAAATTAGGATTTATAATTTTGGTTTATTTTTAGTAAATAAAAAAAAAAACTAATATCCTAATTAAAAATATTTATTATTATAAAACCCTAAGTGACTCACTAATCATAAATTAAGTGACAAATTCATAATATACTAAAGGAAAAGAAAGTGTAGAAATGTAATAATATGTTATTAAATGGAGTTTCAAAATCTTTTTATATGGAGTATAAAATACCAAAAAGAATAAACCATAAAAAATGTTGATGTATAATCTACAGTATAATGGAAATATTGAGTTTCCTTGATTAACATTGTAGAAGTGGTAAAGAAGTAATAAAATGTACAATGGAGTGCAAGTCTTTTTTATTTGGCATATAAAATACGAAAAATATAAATAAATCATATAATAAGATATGATTAAAATATTAGAGAATTCCTATAAACCCTGTATGTTTGCCTTATTATAGACCACCATTGATTTTGAAAATATAATGCTAACCCCCATTTGTTTAAAGTTGGTTGTAAAATTCTTATTAGATTGGGAAATGACCTTTTTACCCTTCAAATTATGTTTTACAACTTAAATATTATTCCAAAATTTGTCAAATTTCCACTCCATGAACAAATACTTGTCAAATATTTTTATTCACCAGCAAATTTCATAATTTTTTTTTTTTGCATTGATCCTAAACAAAATAAACTTCGCTAACTATTCTCATCAAACATCCCAAATCCTCAAATTTCATTATCTTTTTAAATGTAAAAGATGAAAAGAAAAAAAGTTATTGTATGGAACCATGGCTTCTTCTGGGGGCCTCATGCAACAAAAAAAGTTAAGGGTCACGCGTTAGTTTTACGATAGCTAAATTTGGTTTCTTGTAGTTGGTCAGATCCAATCGCTATGTTGAAGCTTTGTGGTGCCAAATCCAACCACTGTTAGGACACCTTAGCTAGCTAGTGGCCTGGCCATGACCACTTTTTAAGGAAGAAGATGGGAGCGTGTAATACCCCGTATTTTTTTTAATGGAGTTTTATTAAATTTTATTTTGTGATTCTGGGGTAAAGTGTAATAATTTGAAAGTTTTGGGGAGTACAGTAATAGCCGAAATAAGTGAGGACTAAATTGAAAATTTTTAGATATTTTGATAACCAGTGACCGTTCAATGAAATGAAAAACAGGGAAGAAGAGGAAAAAAAAAAGAGAGGAAAAGAGAGAAGGAAAAAGGAGAGAAGGAAAAGAGAAAAAAAAAGAGAAAGAAGAAGAAGAGAAGGAAAGGAAGAAGAAAAGAAAAAAAAAGGGAGAGAAAGATGAACCAAGAATAGAGAGAGAGAGGAGATAAGAGACCGACGGAGGCGGCTGGAAAAGTGGCCGCCGGCGAGCAAAACTCCGGTGATCGGAGAGTGGAGGAAGATCAAGCATATGGGAGGTGAGTAAAGGTTAAAATTTCTTTTTCTTGATGAGTTTTAGTTCATTAGCTTGTGTTGGTTATTATTGAGTGTAATGACATGAGATTGCACTATAATAGGAAGATTGATTTTAATAATTTGGTGTGGGTAGAACATAGAGGTTGTTTCTAAACAAAAATGAGTTAAAGATATGATTTTTTATGTGAGGGTTTACTGTACAGAAATCTGACCATCTAGAACTCCGAAAATTGTTTGTATGTTTTGGGTTTTTGTTTGAAGCTAAATTTTGGATATGTTGTTGTTTTAGACTTCTTGAGGAGTGTTTAGAAATTTATTTTACTTAAAAACTCGAAGGATGGAATTTTATATGGATTTTTGAAGTTGCCTTGTGAATTCTGGAATTTTCATTTTCTGCAGAACACATATTTTTGGAAAATGATTTGATGCATCTATTCTTATCCAAATTGAGTGATTTTAAATTCTGGTGAATCCTATATGTGTCTAGTTTAATTCTGGAGAGTTTCATGAGGTTTGGATTAAGGAATGAATTGTTATGAATTTTTCAAGTCAATAACCTCAATTCTGGAAACAGGGGACAGATTTGAATGAGTTGAAAGAAAATTGTGTTTTAAATAGTTATTGATTCCGAAATGACTTGAGGAAATTATGGGAACAAACTATGTGTCTCTAAAACGTCCTGTTAAAATTAAGGCTTAAAATGATAAATGGAAATTTTTAAGAAAAATCTGAGAGCGACCAATGATCGATTATGAGACAGTTTTGTTAAAGAAGAAGTTATGTTAACCTTTTGGTGTGGGAAGTGTCCAATGATTTTAATATTGAGGTGTTACCTTATGGGGACTTATGTATGGAGGATTTGTTAGATTTTGTATATAGGGAGGCAAGCGGGGGCATTATTAGAAGATTTCAATCATTTTTCGGCTTAAGGGTCGAGCTTCAAATTTGTGAGTGGCAAAATCAAACCCTTTTCTCAATATTTCAAGCGTGCATGTGTGATTTGTTGAGTTTTGTTTCTAAGATATGACAGATTTTACATGCATGGAGATACATTGCATCCAAATGCTTAAATTCATGTCTGCATGTGTAAGTTGTGTTTTCCATTTTATTGTTTGAGGTACGTTCTGAGTTAATTGCAAAGTTTACTAAATATTGCTTTTTCCATGCTTCGTTGAGCCTTATGGAGAATTGTTTGATCGTGATTGAGTGCTGGAATTTTTGGTTTCATGGGTGGAGATAGTTTGAGTTGTTGAAGGAAGTTTAGTTTGAGGGAACAACTTGAAATGTCCGAAATTCCTTTTTACTTTGAAAGTACCCGTGCAACCTATACTCTTAAGTTTTCATGTATTCTGCTTATATGATGGATTTAAGTGCATGCCCAGTTAACAAAAGAAAGAAATAGGTGTTTACAAGACAATAAAAATGGTTATCCTTTCTCTGAAAACCACATGTCAATTTGGGTGGATAATGGTTAGCACTTGTGTTATATTATATAGAATTATTGTGTTGTTGAAATTGGAAACTTACAGATCTGATTAATTGGATGGTGTGTTGAGTTATGCATGTGATGTTGAAATAATTTTCAATCTGGGTTAAACCGTCAGTTTTTGAAACATGTTTAGAAAATTTCAGTTTCACCCCTATATGTGATTTTTGAATATCATGTCATATATGTATAATTTATAAGCAGATACGTAATATACTCTTGACTTACATGTTACTTGAGATTATGCATGAGTATGTTGTGGTGCTAAAACCACCCTACGAAGTACCCATCCCCTAGAGATACAGATTTTTGGCTCTGCCCGAGCGATGCAGGATTCCGCCGGGTATGATAGTTTCAGATTTTGGCTCTACGCATGTGTATGACAGATTTTACTGGCTCTGTCTGGGTGTTGAGTGGTCCGTTAGGTATGACAGATTTTATTGGCTCTGCTTGGGCGTTGAGTGGTTCGCCAGGTATGACAGATTTTATTGGCTCTGCCTGGGCGTTGAGTGGTCCGCCAGGTATGACAGTTTCGGTGGTTCTGCCCACGCGATGATAGATCTTGCCGGGTATGACAGGTACGTCCCTCGCTTTGCCTGCATGTGGGACACCCATCAGGTGTGACAGATTTTCCCCAGGGTACTAGTTGGGTGAGAGTTTTCACATGTGATTGAGAGATGATTTGGATATGTACATATATGTATATCATCTATTTGAAAATGGGAACTTATAAATGTAAATGTTATCCGTATATGAACTGTTTCTTAGAAATGATGCTTTTAGAGAAACATGAGTATTTATTCGTTTACCATAATAGTGTTCAGAAAGAAGTCTTGCCATGAGAGATTTCAACATGTGTTATGAAAGATGACTTATATTATAAAATGTGTATACGGAAATGAAATTTTATAAGCATGAGTGTTTTTATTGTATATTGAAATCTTTTATTATATACTAACCCATTCCTCACTCACTGAGCATTTCTAGCTCACCCCTCATTTTCAAATGTTTTTCTTACCCCTCCCCCCCCTCCTCCCCCAGGGTCTAGAAGGTGATCATGTAGAGGAGTGAATTCTACTCAAGGTTGGGCCACACGACTTCATTTCACCATAGATTCTATAGTTGTATTTTGTTTTCCGCTGTAAAGTTTATGTTTCCTTCATCATGTATTTATTTCTTGTTTTGGATTATTAAAGATATGGAAAAAAAAAAAAAAATCTGATATTATACATTTCATTTTGTGAAAATTTTAATTACACTTGTTTATATGTAAATGACGTTACATTTTTATGATGTTTTATTTATAAATTAGTTTTATAGTTTTCTCACATGGCATGTTTCGATCACCCGAGTCTCATAGGTGTGTCCGGAGTCTATCGGATAAGGAGGGTCGGGACGGGTTGTGTCAGAGCGAAAGAAAAAAAAAAGGGAAAGAAGGAGAGGAACAAGATGAGATAGAAAGGAAAATAAGAAAAAAATGAGGGATACTAATGCAGGATTTCATTACAGTGAAAGATCGATAATGCCCTTTTAAAAAAATTGAAATATTAACAATACCTGTTCATCAGTTAAATTAAAAAAAAAAAATTGACAGAATCGAAATAGGGGTTTAGAATCTAATTTTTAAAATTAGCAAACATAAGGTGGGGTTTATTGAATATTTCTTCATAATTATAAAAATAGAAGATTGAAACTGCAAGAGGAGAATTGATGGATTTAAAATTCAAAGGGAATCTACATATCAAATCCTGAAAAATTCGGCCACGTGGATCATTGAAATATTCATACAAAGACACGCGGTGTAAGCCAGCACACCAGAATCCGCTCTGCTAAGACAAGGCTTTTTCCTTTTTTCCTGTAAGATCTCTGAGTATCAAAACCATCCACTTAGTTCAAAAAGTATTAAAGAAACCCCTAGAATAAATGAAAATCGTCTTTAAACAATATCGAATACCCCCTTATAAAATTACAAAAATCCCCCAATAGGGGTGTTTAATACTTTATAAAAAAAAAGGATGAGTTTAACACTAAAAAATATTATAGGGTAAAAAAACACCCGCTAAGACAAGAGTTAAAAAAGAATGAAACTAAGCCAAAGCCCAGAAGACCAGAAACAAAGACCCTTTTTTTGTTTTTCTTCCTAGTCTTCTTTGCTCCTTTCTTCCAAAAACTAACTCATAACTCGTTCTTCTCCTTCTATACACTCGATCTCTTCGTTCAGCTTCTGCCGGAATCACAATCTACAAGTCAACTACTTCTGATCGAGGTCCGTTTTGTTTGTGTTTGCTTTCCTTTTGAGTTTTTTCTAGTATTTTTGAGCTCATATGTATTGATTCAAGTCTTTTGATTTTGCTTCAAATGATATGTTTGTTTGTGTAATCTTTCCAGTTCGGTGTGGATTTAGTTGATATTTTCTTTTGTGGACTGTTAATGAATTTTGGATTTTAGGGATTCCTATGCTTCTTCTAGGGTTTTTTCGATCCTTTGAATTTCTCTTAATTTCGTTTTTGCTTCTATGAATTTAATGAATTGAGGGTTTATTTGTGTTTCTACAACCTTTTGTATTAGGTTCTATGAATTTTCATGGTAGTTAACGGATAATATTCTAATTCCGGTAAAGTTTTTGAGGTACTTAATTTTTTTAAATTAATTTAAGAAACTTGTATCATGTCACTCTTAATTCATCTGCAGGTTGATCTGATTTTAAAATCCATAACATTGATAAATTATATACTGTTTTCTTTATTGTTTCTGTTGTGTTGGTTCCATGTTTTTGACATTCATATTTATCCTCCTTGTTATGAGTCTGTGGTTGTCACATTCATATTTATCCTGAAATACTTTCCCAATATAAGAAATGATTATTGCAATATAAACTAAATGATGTTGATATGAATTTTTCTGACTTTTGTTTGGTAAATGAGGAATTGAAGGTTAAATCTTAAGATTTATGCTTAATTACTTGCCAATAATGAAGTGGCTTTGTTCTTTTCAGGTTTACTAGTGATTTGAGCTTGAAAAGTCAGATGCTGAAGAAATAAGTAGAGTTGAAGTTTTGCTTATCTGGCTAGAAAATGTTGGAGGGTGGTTCGAAATTTCCTGGAATAATAGGGCTAAACAACCATGTTAACAACTATGATGATTTGTCCCAAGGTTTTTATCACAAACTTGGCGAGGGAACCAACATGTCAATCGACAGTGTTAGTAGCTTGCAAACAAGCAATGGTGGAGGGTCTGTTGCAATGTCCATAGATAACAGCAGTGTCGGATCAAATGATTCTCATACTCGTATTCTAAACCACCAAGGATTGCGGCGGCGTGCTAATGACAACCACTCCTTTGGACATAGTGTTAATCGTCGAGGAAGGGTCACACATGCTTTGAGCGACGATGCCTTGGCTCGGGCTCTTATGGATAGCAATTCTCCCACAGAAGGGCTTGAGAATTTTGATGAGTGGACAATTGATTTAAGGAAGCTTAATATGGGTGCACCTTTTGCACAAGGTGCTTTTGGGAAACTCTATAGAGGTACTTACAGTGGGGAGGAGGTCGCAATCAAGATCTTGGAGAGGCCAGAAAATAATCCAGAAAAGGCACAGTTGATAGAGCAACAATTTCAGCAGGAAGTCATAATGCTGGCCACTCTAAAACATCCCAACATAGTGCGTTTTATCGGTGGATGCCGTAAGCCAATGGTTTGGTGCATTGTGACTGAATATGCAAAGGGAGGTTCAGTGCGACAGTTTTTAAACAAACGACAAAACCGGTCTGTGCCACTGAAGTTGGCTGTCAAGCAAGCATTAGATGTTGCAAGGGGAATGGCATATGTTCATGAGCTTGGTTTGATTCATAGAGATTTGAAGTCTGATAACCTATTGATTTTTTCTGACAAGTCAATCAAGATTGCTGATTTTGGAGTTGCTAGGATTGAGGTGCAGACCGAGGGAATGACCCCAGAAACTGGCACATATCGCTGGATGGCTCCGTAAGATCATTTGACTCCCTATCTGCTACGATTTTCTTTTCCACCCTTTTTTCTCTTCACTAACTTCCCCTTAAACTTACTGGATGCTTTCCAATCTTATTGTTGGCTGTGATAATTTTTTTTTAAATTTTTTGATTTTACTATACTTTTACTTTTTGTCTTGGCATGATTTACTGTGGGGGAATTTTAGTTCTGTTGGTGCTGATCTTTGTTAGTTGCATAGAGAGATTTTTATATCTAACTTACTTGGATATTGGATTAATATCTTTTTCAGTGGTTTCTTCTTGATATTACTAGTGATTATGTTACTTAAAGGAAAAAGCAGATAAATTATTTATAGCATATCTCATGTTTCCTCATAATTTCTCTTTTAACTTAAATGTCATTGTGAACTTGAGTCTATCAACATGTATAATCTCTGGGATGTTGGGCCATTGGCTCTGCTTATTTGTTGATTTCTTGGACATTTCTGTGGCATGACAGGGCAGTGTTAGATAAAGTTTGCCATCTGTACTTTAGAAATACTTGGAGCATTCTAAATGGGAGGGGCATAGAAACTCTTCGCCGCAGTTTATTTCTGTTTGCTGGACCTTGGAGATGTCGTAATGTACTAATGAGAGAACGGGGTTTTTAGTTTCTCATATTTATTAACTTCGTATTCTTGGTTAGATAACCTCATTCATGTGTGTATGTGTTTATAGAATGTATCATGTTGGCAGCCTGTCTGATGAAAATTAATTTCATAAGTGATAATCAAATTTCTTGTTTGTTTGGAGCTATAGCTTCCATGTGAGGTCCAATGTCTTCATATTTCTTGGATTGCCTCGAGGGGGTATATAACTTGGTTAATTGTGCTCGCTCAATTTAATAAATTGGGGTACCTATGTATGAGGATGCAGTGAGGAAAATGGTTTTTCACCCTTTTCTTTTCATGATTGTGCAAGAGGAATGTTTGTGTGGGCCTTTTTTATCTTTTTTTCTTTTTGGGCTTTTGGGTAATTTGGTTTAGGTTTAGGTTTAGGTTTAGGTTTGAACAGAGTAAAAGCTGTTTGTATTATTCGGTTTTGGTTTTTATGTGCACTAATTGCAAGACTTGAGTGAAACCGGTTATACTTATATACCATTAATCATGATAACATATAAGGGGATGAAATTAAGAAACATAGATATTTTATCATTATACATTATCATGTTAGTTTTCTGTTTTAATATTGGCAGGAATTGAACCAATGTTTTTGCCATAGGCTTCAGTTTATTAACTCATACAGTATAACCATTTGTTAAAAGCCAAGTCATACCAACCCCTTTACGGATCCTTTTTCTTGCAAATTGGATGAGTTTGGGTTGTGCTATTATTTATGTTCCCACATTGAGGCTGGTTCTAATTGTGACTTACATGAAGTTAGTTGACCCTAGATGATGTGTTCTTAAAGTGTGTCATATAGCTAAATGAAGAATGTATCTGTATTAGTTTCATCTGCACCTAGATATCTATTATCTTAGCCTTTGCTGTTACTATTATGATGTAAATAGAAAATATCAAATGCACTAATATATAATTTGATTTAAACATTTATCAATTTTAGAAGAACACTTAATGCACAAATCTTCAAATTAGCTGTACGGAGATTAGGATGGGTGAAGGTCTAGTGTGTTATTTTTCGTTTGGGTTGTTTCACTTAATGCTCTAGTGTGATTGCTTCATCTTGTTACACAATGCACCCGCTATGTCAAATATTAAACAACATTTGGCATTTAAGCTGATCCAAAGTAGGCATAAAATTTTTGACGATGATTAAATGATAAATCATTCCTGATTATAGAGCTGCTATTACTAAAACTGCACGTCTTATTAATTTCCCTGAGGACATTGTGTCTCTTGTGTGAAGAACGTACTTCTACTAATAAGTTTAGTCAATCTTTGGGCAATAACTTTTGTTTATGGGTATTGATTGGGGTTTTTACTAGGTTTTTAATTCAAATATTACCGATTTATAACCGAATATTTCGTAAAAAATTTCAAAAAGTTTAGAAAAACTGCTAGTTTTTTCTTTTCATTTATTAGTTGTGTTTAGATTATGTGTCAGATTTAAGCTTTGAGCTAATAGAGGCCAAAAAATGTTACTCTTAAGGCATCTCTTGCTAGATTTGCAAAATGGATCTCAAATTTTGGCTGATTCTAACTGATTGGAGCATGTTTAAGCTCATAATTCATTTTGGTCAAGAGCAAAACACGTGTTAAAGGTATGGGTCCAAGGATTGACCAGAACTATCCTGGTGCCAAAAATATGTTTGGTCAAATGAAAAGGGACTTTTAACGCTATAAAACGTATTTTTGGGAAATACCTAGAGCCATAAATAAAATTCACATGGCTGGTCAATCATCGAGATGTGTTTATTAACAAATTAGTAAGTTCCTTTAAACAATGGGCTAAAACTAAGAGGCAAAAAAGAAAAAAAAAGAAAAAAAAAAAAAGCAGACTACGTAATGATCATGATTTCTATATTAGAAAACCATTGGCGTGCAATCTGGAATTATGTCTCAATCAAATTCTGCTTGACTTCTGGCCTATTTTTGTTAACTAGGTGTGGGAGTTATGTTGCATACTACACATGTACTCACCTTTTTCTTATTTTTCTCCATCTCCCAGTCTCTCGTGACCTTGGTTGATGGATTTTTTTTTTGTTTTAGGGAGGTAGAATGGTGCTGAGAAACATGTCCTTATGTATATGAGTGAAGGTTTTTGTATTTAGCTCAAGTTTTATTCATATAGAGAAATTCGTAGTTTATTGGGGGTCATCACAATTACCTTTCGCCTCAATTGATGCTCCCACAGGGCTCCAAAGGTTAGGTTCTCGCTGAAGTTGCCCTTCATCGACGGTTTTAAGCTGTCTTTCCAATGCCTCCTCTTGTGCGCGTAGTTGAGTGTCTGGCTTGCCTTTGACCATCCTTGAAATGTCAGGAAACAAACATATATTTTTTTTGCCGACTATGAATTATATACTCTGCAGCTGCATTCTGTGATTATAGATTGGCTAAAATTTATGTTATTGAGTTTTTCTTTTCCATTACTTCTAACTACACTCGTAGATTATCCAAAAACTGTCCTGACATTCAATGTACTTACTGGTACATGTGTGGAAGTAACGCTTAATCTTCTAAAAATTAAGAAAGCATTTTAAGATTTGAATATCAAAGGTGTCAAAAATGTATATGGGAGTATACCAAAGTAGTGGTATTTGACTTGCCAAGACTTTATTTGCTCGGTAAATTATGAAGTGTGTTTGTCTGCTCACCTTTTGACTTGGTGCAAGAAAAACCATGCTTAAAATAGTATATTTCAATGATCACAATTTCATTTCAACTCATTTACCCCAAGATTTTTTATTGTTTCAACTCCCTTTTTTTTTCCAAATTCTAGTCACTTGGAGCTAGATAAGGGAAGTTGATGGCTGATATCTCTCCATATGGAATTATCTGTATCGTCAACCATAGGCTGCTATCTGATGGTTATGACTCATACTCTTCTATTGTGTCATATAACTTGTTAATCATGTTTTGAGGATTATTATGAAATTTAATGCATTGGACACGTTACATGCATTTTAAATAGAATTTGGCTCGACTCTGAAGCACATTCATTGCATAGAAATTGGCTTTTATTGCTTTGTATTTTTTATCACTTGTGGTCATTCTTACCCTTGTATTGCATAGTTGTTATTCATTGAAGTGGTAGAGTGAAAATAAATTGTTTGCTCATCATATCCTTTTGGAGTGGTTATTGCATGAAAGAAAACATTTCTGTTGATGATATTGTAAGAAATGTTGATTTAAATGCTCACTTATTTTGCTCTATAACATCAGTGTGCTGTTAGCTTGATTGCTTCATTTCTTCTGTAGGGTTCGTTTATCTTTATCCGATTCATAATTTGTACTTGTGAATTTTGACTTATTTATTACATTACTAAAAGAATGCAGTCAAGGGTGAGGTCTTGGGCTGAATCATGTATTAATTACTGTTAAAAGTTGAATTTGTTCCACATCGCCCTAATAGTGGACTGTTATGGTGTATATAAATGATTGGGTTCTCTCCTCCCTTGAGCTAGCTTTTGGGAGTGAGTTCTACCCAAGCCCACTTTATCATGGTATCAAAGCCACGTTTGTTTCTCTCTCCTCTTTGGTTGGGGCGATGATGGGTTTGGATCCCGGCCTTGCACGCCGAGCGTGAGGAAGGGTGTTAGTAGTTGAATTTGTCCCACGGCGCCCTAATAGTAGACTGTTTTGGTGTATATAAGTGATTGGGCTCCCTCCTCCCTTGAGCTAGCTTTTGGGAGTGAGTTCTACCCAAACTCACTTTATCAATTACTGATGGGTCAGTTAAATCCTGCAAGGATTTATGAATGTTATATGTTAGGTAGAAAACATCACCATGTTGTTTCATAATATAATACATAGTTATACTCTTGCACCACTGCATATTATGCACGTGTCTTGTTCTATGTTTTGCTAATTTGTTGACTGAAAGCAAAGTATGTGCTTTAATATACCGAGTTAGTATTTTTCTTATTTCTTTGAATTCAATTTTTCAATGTGGGCTACTTGAGTGCAATAATTATTCTGTCTCTGCAGGGAAATGATCCAGCACAGGCCGTACACTCAGAAAGTTGATGTGTATAGCTTCGGGATTGTTCTCTGGGAACTTGTCACTGGATTGCTCCCTTTCCAGAACATGACAGCAGTGCAGGCAGCATTTGCAGTTGTCAACAAGGGTGCACGTCCGATCATTTCCAATGATTGCTTGCCTGTTCTTGGTGAGATAATGACCCGTTGCTGGGATGCCAACCCTGATGTCCGGCCTCCATTCTCGGAAGTGGTCAGAATGCTTGAGAATGCGGAGACTGAGATCATGACAACTGTGCGCAAGGCTCGTTTTAGGTGTTGTATGACACAACCAATGACAGCAGACTGATGTGGAAATATGTAAATTAAAAAAGTGACAAGAAAACAATGAAAAGAAGAGAAGGGAAAGGGAGCAAGAGGCAGGAAAAGATGATAATATCTTACCCTTGTGTATTTATCAGGTTTAATTTGTTTGTTAAGATAGAAAAAACGACGAGAAAGCTATGATAAGAAGTGTTATGGTTTCAGGGTTTTCAATTTAATGGATTGATGTTGCTAAATTAATATTTGATGTTTGTATGTATACATGTCCTTACTAAGTTTTACTTGCAGCTTCTTTACATTTGCTTCCTAACAAACGGAGAGGTTGGTGTGCATCTGTGATTTTTGCTCTATTCCTAATCCTAAGATAAAGGTTTCTTTCTTCTTTAGTAATTGATTACTTGGATATGTTTGATGAGATTGAAAACTAGGAGGAAGCGAAGGATGAAAAGGGTTAAATTTGATGTTTTCCTTTCCATTAGCAATAAAAGAAAAGTTAACGAATCTATTGAAGAATATTATCTGAGTATTGGCCTTCTTAATATAGAAGAATTCGAGGGATAATGATTATTTCCCCCCAAAGTTTTTCTAAATGACAATTCTAAGGGTGAAGATGGAGTTGTTCTGCCTTTCATTTCTGGTAACTAATGTCAAAACTCGAAAGTTCATTATGTCAGAAGTGTATTATCAAGTAATATTTTGTAAAAGGTTTCTAAAAGTTGGATTTTGTAGCTTATACTTTTAGTAGTTTAAATAAGAAATGATATTTTAAATTAAATTAAAAAATCAGGAAAAGTGGTCGACAAAGCCTGCACCTAGTGACAATGATTTATAAAATGGCGTCCGTGACATGTTGTTTGGCCGCAATCAGGTCGAAAAAGGCAATGGAATCTCTTTGCTTTTTGCAAAGTGAATTTGTAATATTAATGTTATTATATATAGAAAGTTTATCACAAAGCATATCACATGATATTAAAATCCACATAATTTAATATCATATTAATATTATATAAGTCTTTATATCACGTGACACTCATATGATGTATCACTCCATTTTATACAAACTCTCTTTATATAAATAACTTTATCCTTTGTTATGAGTTACGAGGCTATTACTATTACGTAGATTAAGAGTAATGCTACATGTATAAAGAAATTTTACAAAGATTTATGTACAAAGTGATGTAGCAAGAAATGAATAGAAGAGTGAACACAAAAAGTTAAACTCATTATATGTACTCTTCCATTCATTTCTTGCTACATCACTTTGTACATAAATCTTTGTAAGATTTCTTTATACATCTAGCATTATTGGTAGATTAATGGTGCAAGCCCACCCACCGTGCTACGAATGGTCGTTGACTACTATTACATATGTTTTAATTTTAATATTTTTTTATTCAAAAATAATTACGACCCTTTCATATTGTCAAGGTATAACCAAACATAGGCCAAATGACATGCACCCACCCATAGTTTATTGTAAAAACAATTTGGTACCAAAAAGTTTGGATATGACAAGCATTTACTTTCTGTTAATATTTGTTCGTTAAATTAAACTGTAAAAGGGTAAGATAGTAAATTCAAAAACAAATAAAGGGTGATTATGTCATTTCATCCCTTTCTTCTGCAGTTAAAACCACCTTTGTTCTCTCAACTCTCCATCTTCCACCTTTCTTCTTCAAAGCCGTCACCGCCGCCATTCTTACAGGCTTGTTTTCTTTTTTCCTTCACCTTTTCAGTTGATCTCACCTCCCATCACCATCCTCCTCCATCCCCAGCCAGAATTGACCTATTTTGGCCGGAATTTCCTCTTTCCTGTGACACATCACCCTAGCAACAGCCGGATCAAGCCAGAACTAGCCGGATTTCGGCGCTAAAGGATGCCGCCCTCACTAACATCTGAATCCCCACATCACCTTCTCCAAAACCAATGTCCCTCTCACCTCGATTTCCCCAGCCATTTCCCTACTTGTGTGATTGTGTTTGTTATTGTTGTTGGGTTTGTTCATGGCAATAGTTCAAATTTAGTGCCAATTTTCGCCTTTCGATGCAAAGGGGTTTTTTGAAGCTGCAGCTATAGTTTATTGGTCTTATACGGTTTTTGACATGGTGGCAACTATGGCTAAAGAGACTAAGCGTCCTGCAAGGGATATACTGATTGGTTTGGTTGGTTCAATGTCTATGATTACTGTGATTTATTGTTTGATGGCTTTGGCATTGACCATGGTGGTAAAGTATACCCAAATTGATATAAATGCTGCATACTCAGTTGCTTTTGAACAAATTGGCATGAAATGGGCTAAGTATTTGGTGAGTATTTCCCCGGCCATTTCCTTGCAACCGACCAAAAATCTTATGGTTTTGAAAACGTCCACCCCTTGTTTGCTTTTTTTTTTCGACTGCATATGAAATTACCGTACTACCCTTCAGCTGACGAAATTCACTAACATAATCTAACGAAAAGTGGGTGTTTGTCATTTCCTAGGTATCAAATTGTCTTTACGGCAAACTATGGGTGGGTACATGTCGTTCAGCCACCAAACATACCCTAAAATTATGCCAACCGTTGGATAACTTCAAAACAATGCAATTCCACCCTTTAGTACAGTCTAATACTGTCAACCAAACACACCCCAGGATCTTATTAATATTTAATCATCAGTCATCACGCACAAAAAGATGTCAGCGTTTTAATGAAACAGAAGACAATACTGTCAACCAAACACACCCCAGGATCATGTTTTTGTCTCTTTGTAGTGTTCTTGTGGTATACACCGTACATTTCCATTTGAAATAGTTGTGCATCGTCCTTCCTAGGTTGTCCATTTCATTTCATTTTCTCAGTAATCGAGCAAGAGGGTCCTTCAAAATTTTCTTTCTACTCTATAAATGTCACTCTTTAAACTATTATTTGTTGCAGATTTTGTATGAAGTGTAGGTTATTATTAATAAAATATCATTTCACAGAAAATGGAGTGTGCATTTGTGGGCAAGTTTTGTAATACATTGTTGGTGAATTCAAGGAGGCTTAAGATTAAGAGAAGAGCGGAAATGAGAAGTCACAGCAAGTTTTACTCCTTTAAATTCAAGATTACATCAGTGCTTTCTCAAGCAAATCATAATCCTTCTTTGCAGGTCTCATTCTCATGGTTTGTTGATTTGCTGAAAGTTAATATTTTTACTTTGTTTGATGACTGAGTACAATATATCGTTTATTCACTTTTATGGCGGAAGCTATGTATAGTTACGTATTACTTCCTGTGTGAAAAGAACAAATGAATCGTGGACAATGGAAATTTTGGTTTTTCCTCAGTGAAGGCTATACTGTGTCATTGATTCTAGTCTGGGACTAAATGGAATCAATACCTGAAATTTCCCAGGCTCTTGGAAGAACTGGCGATCATGTGCATTGATATTGCTAGATTTTTTTTTGTTTCGGATAAGAATTGTTGTTAAATAAAATTTGTTTCATTTGAGGTGTTTTGTGATTTAAATTATACTGATTTTGTTTATGGCAGAATGGTTGGCGATATTCGGTTGTGAAACTTTCTCTATGTCATGTCTTTGTTTGTGACTATATGTGCCACCAACTCAATTTTGCAGGTAGCTACTGAAAAACAAGGAAGTCCAGCTGGTTTTGGTCTTGGAGAATGGGTTTGGCCTTCTCCTGGGGATGAAATCCCATTTTGGATGAACAAATTTCCCTCGACGGATTTGAGCCCAGAAGTTTCAGCTGACATAGAGAAGGACTCCAATCTCTTACACATTATTCATGTTACAGCTGAAATGGCACCTATAGCGAAAGTTGGTGGTCTTGGTGATGTTGTAACTGGATTGGCCCGTGCATGTTTATCATGTGGCCATACAGTAGATGTAATGCTCCCTTTCTATGAGTGCATTCAGAGACAGGAGATCAATGATTTGGAATTGATCACGACATATTACTCTTATCATGATGGTGATTGGGTTCCAATAAAAGCCTATCGCGGGTTAGTCTCGGGAGTCCCAGTGATATTTGTTGAATCGTCGAATCAGTTCTTCAAGGGGCAATATGTCTATGGGGGTTCATACAATGAGCTGGAGGCATATCTATTTTTAAGTCGTGCTTGCCTAGAATGGATGCAGGTTTGTGAATTGGCATGGGGTATTATCTTTAGTTCTGTAAATTATTATCCAGACTACACTATTTTGAAACAGATCAAGCTGGTCATTGAATTATAAAATAGAATATTACGTATTGAAGATTAAGTATTTCTGGTGTGTAAACTACTAAAACTGTGAATTTTTTTTGCATGAAGTGTATGTCTTGTCTTAATTGACAGTGTACAGGCAAAAAAAATTTCACCTGCATTCACTTATCCAACTTAAAAAGAGGTTGGGTGGTAGCAAGTGATCAAGCTAGTGACATCTCAAATCATATACTTCTTGCTTACTTCTTTTCAAAGTTTTTTTGGAGCTTGGTATCATTGGTTGAGTCATTGTGTTCTTCTGAAATCTAACAAGATAGTACTACGTAGCAGGTGACTGGAGTTCATCCTGATATCATTCATGTCCATGAGTGGCAGACAGGTGCTTTGCCCCTGCTTTACTGGGATATGTATCACGTTCTTTCGCTCAAGGTATTTTACTTTCTTTTCTGTTATCGCTATCTGTATAGAGTTCATTTTCTTACCAGAATGAAAAAATATTGTTAATCAATCATTTTTGCGTGTAACGTTGATAATATTTATGTACTTTGCAGAAACCGAGAATAGTGTTGACAATCCACAACATGGAGCATTATGGGGAATGCAGGTAAATCACAGCTTCTTTTTCTTTTTGTTATTATTTGAGTTACCATTTATCTTCATAGTTGTTTTCTTTATCATGTATTCGTGCTTCTTCATCTGGATTTTTCCTAAAATACAATCTTACAAGTAGTACAAATTCCCATGAGAAGTTAAAGAAATCTAAAGAAAATTACACTCTTCTTACCAAATGGTTATGCATTGGATAGATTCATGCAATATAACAATGATTAAAATCAAGCTATTTTGAAAACCACCCCCTACTTAACCAATTCTGTTTCAATCTAAAATTCTGAAAATCCTGTTTCAGTCTATTCAATCACCATTAATATATTATTTAACCCCCCTGATTTTGCTCTCATTCTACTTCCTATTCTATCTTTTCCTAATTTTCTGTCCTCTCCCTTTCTTTCCTTCTGCCTGTCCAACATCAATTTCTCTTTTTTTTTTTAATCTATATAAATGACCAGGATTCCTGAAATCCAGGAGTTTCAGAAATAAACTCAAATGAAAACAAGACCTAATTACTCAAGTTAAACTTGATTTAATTGTGAGAATATTCTAATGTGCTGAAATTGTTGAAATTACGATTATGTCATTGCATACGTGATAGAAAAACTCATGTTTAACTTCATGAAGCAAAAACTGATTAAACAATATACTACTGGTGATCCAGTCGTCAAAATCATGTAAATCTTGCATCTAAGATATTGGTTGAAAACCCAAAAAGTGATAAACACAAATTACTGAAACTTAGAATTATGTAGAAATTTGCAACAAAATCCTTTTGTTATTCTGCATGGCTTCAATTTCGATATTTCATGGTCCCTGCAAAGTTGCTAGCTTGTAAATGCTGGAGATTGGTGTTATTGTGTATTTTTGGCACGCGATAATATAAATAAACAAAATGTTGATAAATTCTGTTCTTATCTTGTATTTTTTCCCATCTCTTTAAGATGCGTGTTTCTTATGTTTGTAGAAAAGAGCAACTCGGTAAATGTGGTCTTGATGGATCTATATATGGAACTGAGGACAAGGTGAGCTTTTTATGTGGATATCACACAACATTTTTAATTTTTAATTTGTCAATTACCCGTATTTGTAGATACTTAGTATATAGCATTGAAGCATCAGATTATTCTAAATAACCAGTACTTGTTTGTTATGGTAGCATTTTTTCTGCTGCAAAGAGGTGGATTGATTTTTTTTCATGGCAATGAATTTTCCAAAAGGAATAAAGATTTTTATATTGTCTTATCTATTACTCTCATCTCCTAATGAAAAGATGTTTGGTTCATTCCGCCATGGATTTATTTATTTTAATTTTTAATGTGCTAAAATCTTTGAGAACTCAGATTATGGTTTTGATTTTCTTTTTTCTGTTAAGCTTTACTCACCTATCGCTCCAGTTAAACTCCAATATACTCTTGTAAACAGCTAAAGCTTCTAGTTTTCTAATATCTGTTAACTTGCAGGCAGTCGATGATCGAACAATTGGCCACAATCCTGAGAGACTGAGCCTACTGAAGGGTGGAATTGTGTATAGCAATGCTGTAATGTGAGTGGTCTTTTGATTTGTGTTTGTAATTTTCTTAAATTTACATGCTCTATTCTCTCACATATTATTATTTCTCACTACTCATGTCACTTTCTTCTTTATCTCTTAACACCCATTGACTGCATCTTGCCTATGTGCAGATCTTCTTGTTCTCATTTTTGGACACTCTTGTTTTCTATTGCTAGTAGATGTGTTATAATACTTCTCACAACAATTGCTTCTTGCTGAATAAATGAATGAAAATTTGGGTTCAAAGCTAGTAGGGAGTCAACATACTTTGAATTGGCTGTGCTTGACTAATATTTAAGAGTCCTCTTTTCAAGAGCTAGAAACATGGTGATGTCAGTGCAGCAAGCATTGCCATCTTATTGAGGAGTAAACCTTACATCTTTGAATTTGAATATATAAATTTCAAAAGCTCTGTTGGATCTGGTAGAGTGACTTGTAATTGTTGTATTGTTCAACATTTGGTTTAGCTCTTCTGATGTAGACGCTTTAGGCGAATTACCCTAGGAACCCACGAACTCAATGGAATAGGAACAAGTTAGTTTGCTAGGAACGTGTTGAGGATGATCGAATTAGAACCCTAAGGAAACTAAGTCCTTAAAACCCTAACTTTGAGACGCCACAAAGGTTGATCACTCCCTTTGATAAGTCGAGATTCAAACATTCATTCAAGAACACAAGAAGACAAGCAAATAGCCTTCTGAAAATAAACTTCAATTGATAATAATACATCCCCCCAAAATAACATGGGTGCCCCTTTTTATAAGCAGCAAACCCTAAAAAAAACCCTAGCTAATTGAAAAACGGGTTGGGCTCTAGTACAAGTGAATTGGGCCTAAACAAACCTTAAATAAATAAAAGACTAAAGAATCTAATGATAATTAAAACATTAAAAAAAACCCAAGATTAAAAAAAACGAAAATTAAGTCCTAAATTAATCTCGCATCCAACTTAATCTTCCAAATCTATCCCTTGCGTAAAAAGATAATAGATCATCCTTGGTGAAGCTTTGAAATCTTCGAATTTAGTCTTAGAGTCTTCTAGTACAGCCTCTTTGTATTGCACTTCTATGATCAAGCCTTGCAAAGCCTCTTTCATCATCTCTTTACCCATGTCATTGGACCACCAATTCCTTGCAAAGGATCTTGGGAATATTTGGGAACATCAACTTGGTCAGCACCTTGATCTCCATTATCTTCTCTAAAAAAATGTTTTGCACAAGTATTGGCTGGTATTGGATCTTGAGTTAACAGTTGGAGCCCAAGTCTGTTTATTTATGCATGCCTTATGAATACTGAACCAGCATACAAAACCCAACATATAATTTCTGATGAAAATGAAAGAAAGAATATAATTTATTTATTTATTTTTTATCTCTATCTTCATTTTCCTGAACTTATGTCAATATAGACTAATGCAATGTGGTAAAACACATTTGTCACCAAATAAAGCTATAAGTAACTTACCTGTTCTAGTCAGAACTGCCCAATCCCACAGGACTATTGCTCTATTATTCTCTTTCCAATCCATGTGGCTATCAATAAGAATGGAAATAGAGGAAGGCAGCATTCATCTGAGTTAAAAGCCTTGAACTGGATAAGCTAAAGGTGCATGGAAATTGGGCAGTGTAAAGAGGTGATCAATGCTTTCAATGTTCCTCTTGCACATCATACATATTAAAGAGATATAGATTTAGGATTTCTTATCATTAGTTTTGATCTTTTTGTCAGCGATAGACTAACCCATAAGTTGGACATTTCTAGGAACTATTGGTCTATGTATCATTTTAGAGCATTAGATACTTGGACTTCTCGGGTATCAAGCAGATTGTTGGAATAAGACTTGTTTGAAAAACTTCCAGGCTTCTCAGCGATTCAAAATCCATGGTCTTCCTATATCCAAAACCTGTGTCACACGCATAGAGGCACATACTCCAATAAAAAGTGAACTGCAGAGATTGAATTTAAGTTGAATGTTAATGTTTCCGTTTTCACTAACAGTGCAAACTAGTGCATGGACTTACTCCTTAAATCTTTTGCCTAATCGAGTATGTAATTCTTCTTCTTCAGTACAGTCTCTCCAACGTATCTTAAAGAGACACTTTGCTCTGGATGGCTTGCAAGCACATTAATAAGCAATCGTGACAAGTGAGTTTTTCAATACATTTTGCTTATATGTATTTATATTCTTTTCAGTACTTGGATTTAAAATCTTAATATTCCTGCCAAGTGCATATGTTGGCAACATAATACGGTTGTATCTACTAGAACCATTAATCAGATGATTTCCTTACAGTTAATGATTGTTAGAGCTTTGATATTGGTTCTCTTTCCTAGTACATTGTAGTACCTCCATCTGTTATCAATTAAAAAATGTTAAATTGCCTGTACACCATCTTACTCTCTATGGAATCTTCTTTAGACATTTACTCCTTAGTATTGTTAAAATATCAACTGACCTTGTAGCATAATTTTTATGATTGTTTTTAGTGTCTTAAGTAATTTCTACTGTTAAATTGGATACTTTTGAGTTACCGAATTTTTATCAAATGTTAGGAATCATTACAGTATCGGATATATTGTTTTATTTGAAAAATGAAAACAGTGATTCATGTAATACAATATGGAATTTTTAGGTCAATGATAGGCCTAATGCATGTTCATATTAGGAGTAGTTCTTTTAAAAGAATATGTATTTGATTCTTTTTCGATAGTTAACCAATTGCCATAATGGATTCAGTACGTTGCTTATGCCTTCAGTTAATTGCAACCAAACAGTGGAAGTTATTCCTCTCTTTAGTTCCTTCCTTACACAATTCCTTGGTCTCAATTCCATTGCCACTACCAAACTCAACTTTAGCATTGGAACATCAAATCTTTCCAGTGTGGTGGCTTTAGTACCGCTCTTCTCAAGTAACTAATCATGCAATGTCACTCACAGGTTCCTATACTCTCTTTAACTGGAAAGGAAAAAGTGAAGGACTTTACAAGTTTTGGCGTTAAACTAATACCTGTCATTGGATATAATCTTTCTCATTATCCAAGCACTTTTTTTCTGTTTGTTACTATGGGTAGTATTCACAAATCAGAAACTATGTGACAATAGGAAATTACAATTAGTGCTGTTTACTTTGTCAATCTATACTGAAACTGGGAATTAATATTAGTATAAACTTTGTTGGAATGCTTACTGCATGGCTAAGGCTGTGTTTTGTATTACAATGAGTAGTTGGCTTCCTTTTTTTCGCTCATTTGCTGATTGCTTGATCACTCTCCTTCTTATATTTGACATTGTAGTACTATGTTATTGTTTAGGTATTTCGGAATTCTAAATGGGATTGACACTGTGATCTGGAACCCTGCTACCGATGTTTTCTTACCTGCTAAGTTTCACGGTAACAATATTTTTTCTACCATTAAGCATTTGTTTTCTAACTTATCTGAAAAACATAGCAGATACATCCTCCAAGCAAAAGTGATACTAATTAAAAGTAGCAGATTTTGTAGTATACTTAAATGGGAAGAAATTAGTATACTTAAATGGGGAGAAATTCCTGAGAAAGATCTTTTGCTTCTTTGTGTGTTATCTGTGTCTACAAGAGAGAGAAAGAGAAAGAAGGGAGGAAGGATTAGGAATCAGATTTGATTGGGATTAGGGAGTTTTATTAAAGAAAGGAATGCTGTGATCATGAGAGGATGGGATGGAGAGAGACAATTAAGATTTATTTTGTCAGGAATTATATTGGATGAGAGATTGGGACTGATTATTTAACGAAGAGAGTTCGCATGAAGCAATCGAATAGTATTTTAATTGTAGTTTGATTGTCAGAAAACTATTATGTAGGCCTTTTGCTATTGAATCTCATCTTCTATAAACAGTTTTTTGTGAATATGTTAGGATCCCATATTAGAAGGGAAAATGGTGGGCATGTAGGTTATAAAGGTTTGGACACTTTCCCTTGGCAAGCCAATTTTCTAAGGAGGGTTCTACCCAAGCCTATGAAAGAACCATGACCTAACCCAATTGTTTGAGTTGTTGGGTTGGGTTCCTATCAATTGGTATCAGAGTATGATCCTGTGCTCATGTGGACTTCGCCTACGTGGTAGGCTAACGTTAGGCCTGGACTGAAAGGGCATGGAGGCCCGAGGTAAAGGGGATCCGCGTAGTCACCCAAGGGGTAAAGAGGCCGACGTGGACCTCGGTTGCGGAAGCGTGGTAGTGTGTTAGGATCCCACATTGGAAGAGAAAAGGGTGGGCATGTGGGTTATAAAGGCTTGAGCACGCTCCCTTGGCAAGCCGATTTTCCAAGGAGAGTTCTACCCAAACTTGTGAAAGACCCATGGCCTCGCCCAATTGTTTAAGTTGTTGGGGTGGGTTCCTATCAGAATATAACCTGAAAATTATGTGAGCCATGGCTTTATGATCAACTTCAGCTGTAGACCTATCTGTCAGATCTTGTTTTGTACTCTTTGACATAGCAAATTTGGACTCTGAAGTATCAAAAACTTGATGCAATTAGTATATCTAGTTGTCACTGGCCTAACCTACATCTAAAAACCAAATTCTTACTAGGAACCATATAAACAACTCGAAATAAGATATAATGCTTCCTGATGTTGCTGCCTACCATTACTGATTGTCCTTTCCTAAAGAAAATGTAATGTCATTGTGTCTCATAGTCAAAACTCAATTTATAGACGCTTAATTAAATAATTATTAAGTCAGCAACTTTCATACTCAGTAAAGTCTCTTGTGGATGTCAAGCCTAAATTACAACGGAAATATCTGCCTAAATTTCAGCTATTAAATCTGTCTATACCAAAACTATGTCCATATACAGATTCTGACTAAATAAGGAAGTATATATGTACAACTGGTGAGAACTAAATAAGGAAACATGGAGCGTATCATAGTGACATCCCCTCTCAAATTGATGTTGGTCGGTCAAGAAGCATCAATTTTCCCACAAGAAATTGATGACGTTGTCGTGTCATGGCCTTCGTAAACACATCTGCAATCTGGAGGTCAGTAGAAATATGAGGAAGAGAAATGATACGAGTGTCCAATACTTCCCGAATGGAATGACAGTCCACCTCAATGTGTTTGGTACGCTCATGAAAGACGGGATTGGCAGCAATCTGAATGGCACTAGTGTTGTCAGCATCTAAAGGAGTAGGGTCAGATTGAACACAACCAATCTTAGCAAGGAGACCATGAAGCTAAAGAATCTCAGAACAAGCAACAGACATTGCACGGTATTCAGATTCGGTGGAAGATTTGGACATGCGATCTTGTTTCTTACTCTTCCAGGATATCAAAGAGTCACCAAGAAACATGCATCAACCTGTAACAGATCGTCGCTTATCAGGACATCCTGCCTAATCTGCATCACTGTAAGCCACAAGTTGAAGAGGAGTCTCAGTAGGGAAGAATAGGCCACGACTGGGAGAACCTCATAGATATCGAATGATATGACGAACGACGGCCAAGTGTAGATGATGTGGAGCTTGCATGAACTGACTAACCTGTTGTACTGCAAAGGAAATATCAGGACGAGTAATGGTTAAGTAGTTCAGGCTCCCCACTAATTGTCGATACATAGTAGGGTTGGAAAGGAGATCACCCTCTTCCCGACGATACTTCGTGTTTACTTCTATAGGAGTATCCACAGAAGAAGTATCCTGAAGACTAGCGAATGCAATCAGATCCTGAGTATATTTATGCTAATTCAAAAAAATGCCAGAGGAATCAGTATGTACTTCCAAGCCTAAGAAGTATGTAAGAGGACCAAGGTCCTTCATATGAAATGAGGCTTAAAGATGCTACTGCAGTTGGGTGATCAAGCTACAGTCCATTCCAGTAATATCAATATCATCAACATAAATTAGAAGAAGGACAATGCCAAGAGATGTCTTGCAGAAAAATAAAGAAGAATCATATGCACTCTGCTAAAATGAAAATTGGAGCAAAGTGGAGCGGAATTTATCAAACTAGGCCCGAGGAGCTTGTTTCAGCCCATACAATGATCGTTTCAACTTATAGACATCCGAGGAAGAAGAGGATGACAAACCAGGTGGAATGGTCATGTATATCTCTTCTTTGAGATCACCATGAAGAAATGCATTTTTGACATCCATCTGATGAAGAGACCAACCTTGGGATGCAGCAACAGATTGGAGCAAAATATTCTTGTCTATTACCAAGTGCAACCAACCAGGCCTTATACCAATCCAGAGTTCTATTAGAACGCAACTTGATAGAATAGACTCATTTGCAACCAATAGTTTTCACCTGAGGAGGACAAGGGACAACATCCCATGTATGATTATCCTAAAGAGCCTGAAGTTCCTCGGCCATCGCTGCATGCCAACAGTCATGTTTAGCTACCTCAGAATAACCTGAGGGAATGGGAATAGTAGACAAAGTAACATGGAGAGAGGTATGAGAAAAACCATACCGGTCCGGCGGACGAGACACTCTGGTCGAGCGGCGAGGAACTGGAGTAGTATCCGGATCACTCGTAGAGGATTCAGTTTGAACAGGCTCAGATGGAGGACCAGGCTCAGGAAGGGGCAAAGTAGGTCGCCATCTTTCATATACAAGTCTAGATTTGAATCGGTCAATAGGAGTCAAGTCATCAAAATGAGGCAAAACATGTATCTCAGGCAAAGACTTATCATGAGAAGGAAAGAATGATTGATTTTCAAAGAACACAACATGACGGGAAATACGAAATCGGTTAGAGCATGGATCATAGCAAACACAGCCTTTGTGTGAAGTACTATAACCCATAAATGTGCATCTAACAGATTGAGCAGATAACTTATGTCGTTCATGAGAAGGCAAATGAACAAAACAAACACAACCAAAAGTATGCATGTCAAGGTATTTAGGATGCTGATGATAAAGACGAAAGTAAGGAGTTTCATAATTCAAGACACTGGACGACAATCTATTAATTAAATAACCAGCCGTAGATAATGCTTCAACCCAGAATTTAGGTGGAACAGATGATTGAAGCAATAGAGCACGAACAACATCCAACAAGTGTCTATTTTTACGTTCAGCAACACCATTTTGCTGATGTGTATGTAGACAAGAACGCTGAGAAACAATGCCTTTTTGTTGGAGAAAATCATGAAACTCACGAGACATGTATTCACCACCTGAATCAGACCTAAGAATTTTAATGCCAGAAGAAAATTAAGTCTTGACATAGGCAGTAAATTGTTGAAAAACAGATAAGACCTCAGATTTAGTACGAAGAAAATAAATCTAGGTATACTTTGTATAATCATCAATGAATGTAACAAAGTATTTATAATTTGCATGTGAGATAACCGGAGAAATTCACCACACATCACTATGAATTAAATCAAAACAACATTCAACATGACTACCATGGAACAATCAAAAGAGAGAGGAGAAGAAAATTGATCTTTATTGCCCAACAAACCAGAGTTTATTATATGAGATAAAATAGCAGAATTAGGATGACCCAACTGTTTGTGCCATACTTTACACTTATTGTTTACAGTGTTACAAACAAACGAAATAACAGCAGGAATGGAAAAAAGCATAGGAAATAAACGTCCAACTTTAGGCCCCTTCGCAAGTATCTTGCCCGACACCTGATCCTGCACAAGACAACCATCATGAGAAAAACGAACATCACAGTTATTATCAACCAATTGCCCGACTAAAATAAGACTGGTAGAAAGCTGAGGAGATACAAAAACATCTCTAATAGTGGAATCAACATCCCCAATAGCATGAATAGGTAACTGACAACCGTTAGCAATCTGAATATGTGCCGATTCAGTATAAGTTCGAACATTGCTAAGAGTAATAGAAGAACTAGTCATGTGATTAGATGTACCCGAATCAATAATCCATGAGGGGGAAAGCGAACCATTACCTTGCAATCCTAAGGCTGAAAATGCGGAAATAATCATCTGTTGTGCCTTCTCAGTAGTAAGAGCAGAGGAGTCACCAGTAGTAGCAGAAGAAGCAGAATCCGCAGTAGCCTGATAAGCATTGGCCTGACGATTCTGGGGACGAGTAGGACACTCTTTGATAATATGCCTCGGCTTCTTACAGTAGTTGCAAGATTTCCGTGTACAGTTGGTAGCAATATGCCCATATTCCTTGCAGCTGAAGCATTTAACTTTCTGCATGTCTTGTCCCTTGCCTTTTCCTTGAGCAGCATAAGCCACTGCATTGGATATCATTTTGTCGTGTTGATAAGTGGCCTAGGTGGTAAGTCATTGCTCCTCATGAAGTAACTCCCCAAAACAGACATCCAAAGATGGCACGGGATTGCAATTCATCAAATTAGAGCGAGTGGCTTCAAATTCAGGTTGTAACTTCATTAAAAATTGATCTCGCTTGCTTTGCGCATGAATTTCCTGCACAACTGAGAGAGATTCTTCTGGTATCTTGGCATAAATAATGTCAATAAATTCTCCCCAGATATTATTAAATCCAGAAAAATGATCCTGAATGGAGAGATGACCCTGAGTATAATTAGCAATCTCGTACTCTAATTGAGAACGTCGAGCAATATTGTCTTGATTATATACTTTTTTTAAGTATTCCCACATAGATTTAGCAGTCTTATATGGCCTCAGATTAAGAACAATAATAGGATCCACTGATCCTAAAATCCATGTCATCACCCGAGCATCCTTGGTCTGCCACTGAGTCAGTTTAGAAACATCAGTAGGAGCCTGATCACTCCCATCAATGTGACCCCATAACTCTTTCCCCATAACAAATAAATGAAATTGAAATTCCCAGGCAGAATAGTTCTTACCTGTGAATTTCACCGCAATAGAATTAGAAGACATGATAGCCAAATTAAACACTAAAGAGAGAGCCAATAACCAGCCCAAGAACAATCCCAAACAGTAGCAACCAAACAATTTCAGAAAATAACTGGTAATGATACCTGCCCAAAAACATGCAACAATCAGCACCCCAAAAATTGAAGACCCCGAACTAAGGATCGTCGACAACCACCCCAGAAGAGATCGACCACCACTAAGGAACCACCAGAAACTGCCGACAAACGCAACAGACCACCAGAAACTGTCGACAAACTCAAAACCAAAGGTGCGCCACCAAGAAAACCCATCCAGAATGTGCCGAAAAACCCCAAGAGACACTCAGACAGTGTCAAAAATACCAAGGAGCCCCAAAAACGACGCCAGAAAGTGCCGATGAGGAAGCCCAACGTGACCCAAAGACACTGAAAAGAAAAAAAACAGAAACCCACATGAGAAAGGTTCGTAACTTAGGAACCTGACTTTGATACCATGTCAATTGGATTCAATGTCCTCTTTGTGAGGATTTCTTCTCATTATATAGGCACAAATGTGCAATATACAAGGCAAGAATCAAGCAATACAAGGCTAGAATCAAGCCTAAATTACAGCAGAAATATCTGCCTAAATTATAACTATTAAATTTGTCTAGACTAAAACTATGTCTATATACAGATTCTGACTAAATAAGGAAGTACATATGTACAACTGGTGAGAACTAAATAAGGAAATATGGAGCGTATCATGGTGAGAGTGGACTTGCGTAAAGAAACTTAAGCTTCGTTGTAGCTTCCATTGGCTCCTTCATTGCTAGCTATCACATTTAATTAGAGCCATTAAGCTTTATGTTGGTAGTTGCATGTCCACAAATTAACACGAGGAACAAGAATGTTATTTATTTATGAGGATGTAATTTTTATTAATAAGTTGAAAGTTTCTTTTGTTAAATTTAGGTTTGTTCCTCATTGAAAAATGAATGTAACAAAGATGTACCACTTAACTTTCTTGTGTGTAATTGACAAGGCAAATTAACATTTATTTCTGAGCTGTCTGATATGTCAAAATGGGAGATCTTTGATTGTTTAATGTCACTGAAATACTGTGATACATATACAAAGCCGTACCGTTTGAAGTGATAACCTTTCTGAGATAATATAAAATTCTGGGTCCAGACTTTGGTCCAATGTAAATGTAAGAAACCCTTATAATTGATAATTAACCATTTCAACTTGGCCCTGAATATGTGGCGATGGTATAAATAGCTCCTGTTTAAAAGGGATTTAGGCATACTTTCATTATCTTTCTCACCTGATTTGGAAACTATGGTTTCTTAAGATTTGATTTCTTTTTTTTATAGACTTTTTGGTTCCTAGGATACATTTGATATATCATGGATCACTGTTTCACTTCACTCCTAATTTGAAATTTTCATTTCCTTTATAATTTTTTTGTTCCTTTAAAAAAATATTATAAGTATTATCAAAGTTACTTTGTCTGTCAGGTACGGATTTTGTATCACAAGAAAATCATTTTGAGTATGTTCTGCATTGCATGTGGTTATTGTGTATCTTTTTGTTTTTGGATGGAAAGGTTTGCAGACTTTGTTGGACATATAGTGATTATTTCGAAAAATGCTAATGAATTCTGTTATTTCAACCTGTCTATTTAATAACTAGTCTAGAATAATATACAACCTGTAGTTCTAGTAATACTATCTTAGACATGATTTACAATGCCAGTCTCTTGCTTTATCCTAGAATTGTGCAATTTATTCTCTATTAGTAGATAGCAATGTGAGAGAAATAACATGATTATATGCAAGTCATAAAACTATGAGCTTTATAATCTTAAGATGCTCTAGTTTTCTATTCTAACTTCTCTGTCTGTAATTTCCTGCAGCTCATAAACCTGAGGGCAAGAAGATATGCAAACACTATGTCCAAAGGGGGCTAGGTTTAGAATGCTCTCTAGATGATAACCATGTGCCAGAAACAACAGAGAATGGGCCCTTGATTGTTTGTATTACTCGACTAGTTGCTCAAAAAGGTCTTCATTTGATTACTCATGCAATTAAGCATACTGAAGAACTTGTAAGTATAATATTTTCAATTTATGTATTCCTNTTTTAAATGCGCTTAGTACAGTATAAAGCATTAAGACACTCTAGAATCCTATATTTATTTTCAAGGAATATCATCATATAATCCGACTGAGTTGACAAGAAGGAGCCTCAACAAGACTGATAAACAAGAATATATAGCAAGCTGATGAAGATAGTAACTGGCTTTCACACCAGCTGGTGGATGTTTCATATAATCTTTGAATTATAGTGTAATCCCAAAGACTTGAACCTCAAGTCTATTACCAAATTTGCAAGATCTTCAAATTCCCTCTGAATGCGACCATCAGAAGCTTTTCCCAACACAATCATCTGTCCACCCTGTCAGTGAATCAAATTTTAGAGAAAAAAGAGTTAATATAATCATGTTACCTACTTGAAGAAAAGAAGCATCAAGAGAATATGCAAATTTTTGCCAACTTCCATTTGTTAAAGCATCAGATGATATGTATATTATCTTGTCATATCAGGACTTTTGTGTACATCACAGAAAAACTTGTTTAGGTATCGGGGTTTGCAGCAATGTGGTCAATTGAAGGTTCATGATCGAGGGTGATTAGTGTATATATATATATATACACTAATCACCCTCGATCATGAACCTTCAATTGACCACATTGCTGCAAACCCCGATACCTAAACAAGTTTTTCTGTGATGTACACAAAAGTCCTGATATGACAAGATAATATACATATCATCTGATGCTTTAACAAATGGAAGTTGGCAAAAATTTGCATATTCTATTGATGCTTCTTTTCTTCAAGTAGGTAACATGATTATATTAACTCTTTTTTCTCTAAAATTTTATTCATTGACAGGGTGGACAGATGATTGTGTTGGGAAAAGCTTCTGATGGTCGCATTCAGAGGGAATTTGAAGAGCTTGCAAATTTGGTAATAGACTTGAGGTTCAAGTCTTTGGGATTACACTATAATTCAAAGATTATATGAAACATCCACCAGCTGGTGTGAAAGCCAGTTAGTATCTTCATCAGCTTGCTATATATGTTATCAATCTTGTTGAGGCTCCTTCTTGTCAACTCAGTCGGATTATATGATGATATTCCTTGAAAATAAATATAGGATTCTAGAGTGTCTTAATGCTTTATACTGTACTAAGCACATTTAAAATTCCAAAAAAAAAAAAAAAAAAATGATAATAATAATTTAAATTAGAACTCATCAATGACGGAGAAATGCATTGAGAAAGAAGCTAGTGAGGACGTTTATCATTTATGTGAAACTTTTATAGCTTTCATTCAAATTTGGAGCAACTGCCTAGTGCTTATGTTTTCCTATCTGAAAATCAAATGAGCAGCTTTTTGTTTTTTCTTTTTGGTATAAAGTTTACAAACTAATACTTGACTGCAGTTTTTGTATTTCTTATGTTGTCACTGAATTTGGTACTTTTATGTATGTCATTTTGTCAATTTTTCATTAAATTTATGAATGCACCGTTCTCTAAGAAAAGCATCAGTATTTTCTTTTATAATTTTCAGGAACCTTTAGCTAAATCAGGTTTTTTGGGGGCTTTTATCTCCTGCTTTGGGGAATTAAATCTCGTTAGCATTCGAAAGAGCTAAAACATATGTCCTTCCCATGTTTTCTTTTTTGAATTGCTTTTAATTTGATAGCCATCTAAATTTTAGAATTTGTATCCCTTGAGATGACAATAGTGAACTCATTTATTTCAATGATTGTTATAAACCTTTCTACTTCTTGGTCTTTTACTCAACCAAAACCACGTGTAGTTATTGCTTGGATTTCTTGGTGTTAATAGACTTTTGGATACTTTAAAATTTTTGCTGCTATTTTTTTTAGTACAAAAAAATAATAATAATAAGAAGACTGACCAACTTCTGTTTATTAATCTTTTGTAGCATAATCAAGGTTCAAGTATCCGGATCTTACTGATGTATAGGTGATTCTCCTTGTAATCAAATACTACACTTGCTGTTCCTAAACTTGCTCATATTTTAGTTGCTAATACTACTGTTTTCTCAGAGTTTTGAGTTTTTAGGCAGCATGTAATCCTTATTGAAGCTTTGATGTCTCAATTTAAATACCCTTACTTTGTTATTGATGGGATATCCTTTTCTTGTTTGTGATTGACTTTGTTATTCAGTGAGGAGCTATCCCACATGCTCTATGCTGCAGCAGACATGGTGTTAGTTCCATCCATATATGAACCATGTGGCCTTGCCCAAATGATTGGAATGCATTATGGAGCGGTATGCAGTCATTTGAGTGATTAGATTGCACAAAAATAATGCACAATTTTTTATTTTTTATTTTTCTCATAAGAAGCAATGAACACCAAATAATTTACAGTAGCAATAAGTAATTCTAATATGTATCTTTTGTTCCATGTATTTAACTTTTTTTCTCAATTGTCTTTGCTAGTCACAATACCATTTTGCCTAGACATGATTTGCTGCTTGTATTGAAATTTAGATACTCCAATAATCTCTAAACTAAACTTTAGATAAGGTTCCAATAGTAGTATCTCATGTAAGGTGGTATTAATCTAATCAACTGGCATGTCATTTCAATGAAACAAAAATACAAGTACAACTTATTATAATTTAATTAATTTAGTGGAGGAATTCGAATTATAAACCTTTTTTTCAAACTGAATCTAACATCTAGTTTAGATACCACTAGTCCCGAAAACCTAACCTTAAATCCAAATATTTTTAAGCTCCAACTATCTGCATTCCATCGAAACAATATCAAATTGAGAATAGGTAAATAATATATGCTATCAGGATATACTAACAGTTTGCAGATGGCCTTGTTTGTATAAAATATTGTTTCAGGTCCCAGTTGTTAGAAAAACCGGTGGTCTTGCAGACACTGTCTTTGACATGGATGACTTGTCAAACCATGAGATGGCCAATGGGTGTGCTCTATAATTCTTGATTTTTTTTTTCTTGATACTGTTGAATTCTTCCTAACAAGTGTTCATGATTGTGGCCTCAGTTTAGTTTTTGACAATGCATCAAGGTAGATTATATTTATAGAGCTATTCACAGAGTGTTCATGTCCATGTGTTTGTGTTAAAAAAAAAAAAATGTTCAAGGAAAATGAAAAAAGAAAGTTCTTTTATGCAGGAATTTATTAAGCTGGGCTTTATAATAGATATTCTGCAGGGATGTTCAAATGAAGCTTATTATAATATAACAGTAGTGTAATACATCAATTTATTGTTTATATATACTGTAAATTCAAAAGCTGGGTTATTAATGGCTCATGTGAAATGAAATTCTGCAAGATGCATTGACATTGAAATTTGTTCGTCTTTTCCTGTCTCTTTCTTCATGAATTTTCTTGATTGATAGAATGAAATTGCTTCTGTTCTCATTTTTCTAAAATTTGTTGATGCTCTAAATTAACATTCGCAACATGTTTAACCCTTTTTTTTCTTCTTTTTCCAGGTTTGTCTTTGAAGGAATAGAGGAAGGATCCTTAAATTCGGCTCTAGACAGGGCATTTAGATACTACAGAGACAGTAAGTTAAATTTACACCGGACTTAAAATATATTCACGTCATGCAGTTAACAAATTATTCTTTACCACCAAAATCAATCTAAGCATAGCGAATGGTTACCCATACATGGCTGTTGACTTTTGATTGCTTGCGTGTTATTGCTAAATAATGAGGTGGATGAGCCTTGGATCCAGATATTAGTAATCACTGGTTGTCTATCTTGTAATTTGAGCTGGTGCTTCAAAACAGTCAAAAACCTGTCATTTCTTCTCAAGTTAGTTAAGGCTGCATTCTTTTCCATTTCTGTTTTCTACATTTTTCTCATTGGAAAATGCATAATTTTTGTTCACAAACCACTTTCATTTCGAAATACCAAAACGGAGAAATAGGAGAAAACATGTGTAAACCAAAATTAAGAAAACAAGGAAAACATGGTAAAGTCGTTTTGTTTTCATTTTCAAATACTATTTTCAGAAAATGATAATGAAGGCATATTTAATTTTTTAAGATACAACATTAATTTTTTTGTTTCATTTTCAAAAACAAACACTAACAATGATACTAAACCTCATTTAAATTGATGGTGAACTAAAATAGTGTCTGTATTACATCTCATGTAGGGGAGCAAAATATTATGCTTCATAAGTTTTAGTCACTTCGTTTCTATGCAGAACCAGATGAATGGAACAGTACTGTGCAGAAGGTTATGGAAATTGACAATAGCTGGAACAACACAGCTGGGAAATATGTCAAGATATACAACTCTGTCAGAGTGGTGTGCTAATATAAATCCTAAGTGGATATACTAGAACATCGAGATACATGCACCAAACTTCCCAGTGGATGCAAAACCTAATTTCAAATAAAAGCATCTGATATGCTACTGTTAAGGAACCTTGGGATGCAGCCATGGTCCAAGTTTGATGCCCTGGAATCTAGAAGTTTATCTTTTGGGTAGACAGCAGAGTTGCACGTCGAGAATGGTGGGAACAACACCAATATTAGTACCTTGTGTTATTCCAGCTGTATATATGTTACTGTACTGTAGAGTACATGAGAATATTTATCTCATTATGTATTTAACATACTTTGCTTGACCAAGCAAGTATCTGGACCTTCCAACAAACTAGTGGTGTTGCAATAACGATAAGGCTCATTTGATAACATCACAAGGCTTCATTCCAAGCAAATATAAAGAGTTTTTCGAGTGTTTGTGATTTATTTTCAGGCTTATTTAGTGCCAACCTCCATCAGTTTGCGCACTAAAGCTGCACGGTTTTTCTAGGTCCATGAGAGCAGGCAATGACAATGGTTGCCTAATTTTGTATCCCATATCCAGGCATAGAAGCTTGACAGGAAAGTGAAAGGCACAAGAAGAAGCATCATCCCAAAACTTCACATGGTTATGGAGATAATCTGATGTAGCTTCAAAAAATTTGCTCAGATTAAAAATGGTCCCCGGTTCAACATGGTAGAAGAATCCAAAACAAATTGTTAGTGTTATAGGGGATATGAAGAAGTGATTGAGTTGAGTTTTTTCATTTAATTTTATTGCGTTTGATGTTCATTATTCTCGTACATTTGACCTTGTTGAATTGAGGAGTAAAGTAGGTTCTGGGTGGGGACTGGGAGTACTAAATACTGATCCATCCCCTGTCCATTTCAAAATGCGGTATTAATTTGTTCTCCCATTTCCTAAATTAACCCACCAATAGAGGCGGTTCCCCTAGGTTATCCCTGTGGGGCATTTTGCCATCCCTAGTAGGAAGTGAACATATTATTCAAGCTTATTTGTAGACATCACGAAGATAACAAAAACTTAATAAGGTGAAAAGATGATAAAGTTATGTAATCTTAAACGTGATAAAATCAGATTTACAAATATTAACATTACGACTCTAAATGATACATAACATGCAACATTTTCAAAACCCTTTCATGCAATAAAAATTTATTTAACAGTGAATTTATAAAATAAGGATTCGTAAATCCTTTTCATAACTTCATAAATCATTTCGATATTCTTTAATAAACATAATCTATAGAAATTCTTTTCACATTGTCATATGGAAATATTTCATAAAACTTTTTTTACGGCTTTTATACTTTTGATCTGCAAACAAATTTTTTCAAGAAGTCTTTTCATAAAATCAAGCAGAAGGATTTCATAAAGCTTTTTCTTTTCATATCTCATTTTTGTACACAAATGTTTCATAATATCTTTCTAGAAAAACATATGCAAGTGCTTATGTCTAATAGTGTTACATATACCCCCGATAACCCAATAAATCATATGATATGCCACTTATACTCCTAGTGACCCGACCAATCATTTCATATGTCACCTTTAACCCAGGTAACTTGGTCATATCATTTTATAGAGGTGCACACCCTGTCCCAACTATATCAATCATATCACATTAAAGCATATGTCACATGTATCCTCGGTGACCCTGGCCAATCATGTAATAAAGTATCAACAATGAGTCAAAACATTTATTTGCTTTCTTTGGTGGGAAGATATTGGACGATATAGGCTCCATGATCCAAAGTTGAAGATCATGCTCTTTCCTATTTTATTGAATTCGAGTTTATCTATAACTCAGCTATATAACTGATGTTATATAAACTCAATTATAATTTGTTTTGAGGGATTGGAGAGAAAGAACTCGGGACGGCAAAAATAGGTCACAAATAACTCCCTAGAAACCCCTTGTAAAAGCAACTCGCTTATTGTTTCCATAGATTCAAGAACATAACAGTGGACGTATGTTTTTCACGATAAGCAGCCGAACCACTTTAAAAAGTATTTCTTGTTCTTTGTTATTTTATGTTAATTATTGTGCATTCTATCATCGTCTTATTTCATCGCTGATCTATCAGGATTATGTACACATCTAAAGTGGTTCTAACATTATTAATCACGTATCTATGGTTGGTGTAAATTTCTGCATCAACACAAAGCTTTTGGAACTTAGAGCACATTGAGACAAGAATCTTTATACTTTACTATGATCACACTTCTAATACACTTTCAAGTAATCTTTACTTCTCAATACTTATCAATTCATTTGCATGTCTTTCATAAATGTTCATTTTCAGAAATAGAAAACAGTAATAATATATTATAGTCACATTTTACTCTTTTTTTTTTTTTTTATAATTATAATTAGATTTTTATTAATGATTTCATTAGTTATTTTTCCTATAATTGTATCGAGGATATTATCAATTTAGCTATACCTTTTTTTTACAAATTGCTAAAAACCGGACACAAGTTTTAATTTGTTCAATTTACGGACACTAAATAATAATTCTGTTTGGAGCAAGATCCTTATGCTTGCTGAACTTGGCTATGTGGTTAGACCCTGGCATGATTACATCCCCCATCTGGCAAGGAAATGGAAAGTAAGAGCTTAAAATTCACTTTGGGTAGGCTTTGTTTAGGGGCTAAGGTTTATTGGATTTGGAGGGAGCGGAATTCGCGAATTTTTAGGGGTGACTATAAGGATTCCTTCACCATAATTGATGTTATCAAAAGTATTGTGAGAGACAAAGCTATGGAACTTAGGAATGTCAAAGTATCCTACAGCAATAGGAAGTTGGCGAATGATTGGGGCCTCCGTAAGTCTATTTTCAAAGACGTTCCTCAAGTTCCTGACGTCGTTTGAATGCTGGATTACGGAGGGTTACGCAGAATGATTTTTGCTTGGTTGTGTTTCCACCATTGTAATGAGTTTGATCTCGTGTTTTTCTTTTAATGATCCTAACCCAGGGAGGTGTCCTATGGTAGGTGGAATTTTTGGTGTTCTCATTGCTTTCTTCTTGGTATTTATCTCCTTATGTGGTTTAAGATAAACCCCAAGGGCGAATGGCCATTTGTAGGTTTGTTTCTTTTGATTCCTATGTTCGGGGCATGTCCCAAAATAGGCTGGTCGCCTTTTATCAGGGCTTTGTACATTCTTCTATTTTTTTAATATTATTACTTACTTAACAAAAAAAAAAAATATAATAATTCTGTTCAATTTAGGGACATAACATACACTAATTTCAATTTGTTCAACTTAGGGATACTAAATAGTAACTTGTTTAATTTAGGGACAAAACATACACTAATTTCAATTTGGTTTTAGATAACTATTTAAAAAGTTTGTTTGATTTCAAAGTTTAAATATTAAAATAATTTAAATAAAAAGAAAAAATCCCGTTTTAAAATTAAAAAAAAAGGGCAAAAAAAAGTTTGCATAAAAAAATTGACAACAATTTTCATTTATAAATTAAAAAAATGAAAAAAAATGAAAAGACGTTGGCTTTCTCTCATGGCCAAGTGTCCCTATCAGCTATGTTGTTGGCACTAAGGAAAACCAACAACATTTTAATTTTTGAAAAACCTTAAAAATCAACAACGGCTCTTTTATACATACAAGACCCACTACTTTCTTCTTTATATATGTTACTTTTTTTGTTGCTTGTGAACCAGTTTCATTTCACTAGTTTTGGCTTTCCAATTACAGAGAGTTTGTGTTCTTTGTTAGGATTTAGAGAGTCATGGATATGGTGTTTTTCGCGGATGATGCGCGCCTGTTGGCTACTGTGAGTGAGGAGGGGCGAGTTTATGTGGAGGTCCAGATGAACAAGATAAGACATGTTTGATGGTTGCTGGTGGTGTGTTCAATCATTCACTTTGCATTGATGAATGGGTTACACGATTTTGATTTTTGATTGTCGATTAATTCTCTCTTGCTTGTTTTCTTTCTCAGTCAATTCTACTCTCTCTTTACTTTATTGGCTGGATTCTTTGTGGTTATTACGGATTATTGTTCAAACATATAGGAATTATGTGTTTTAATGTGGTGATGTTATGGGCATCCTTTTTTCAGATCACCTGAGAGAGAGAGAGAGAGAGAGAGAGTTGAATTTTCAAAGGCAAAATTCAAAAACCCCCACACACAAATGACGCAACACAAACTCACACACTTGGCTTTCTTTCGGTTTAACAACTCAAACATAAATACACTCACTTCACTTCACTGATACTCAATACTTATTTCAATTTTTATTCACTTTCTCATTTTGCTTTTCTTTCGTTTTCAATTTTTAACTCAAACTGAGGTATGTTCTTCTTCTTCTTCAAGTTTTCCCTCCATATATTTTTGTTTGTATTTCAATCCCTTGAATGTGTGTAACTGCTTTGAAATTTAAGTTTAGAGTTAATAATGTTAACTGGGTTGATTAGATATTATGTTTTATCCATTTCTGTTTTTGGGCTTTTATTTTTTATTTTAAAATTTTTTGGGCTACATGTGATGCATGAATGTGTATTTTTCCTTGTGAAAAAGAGAGGACATGTGAATTTATGATTATAGTTTAAACAATTAGACGTGTTAGTGAGATTTTGGGTTTTGTATGATTAATTTTCTGGATTTTTTTTTTTATTTGGGTAAGTAAGCTTTTATAGAAAGGGGAAAGAATGTACAAAAGGCCTAAAAGTCGGGCCAACTCACCTCAGGACAAGCCCTGGGTTAGGAGCAAAGGAATGATACTATCTAAGTCTACCCCTAATCTTCTCTTTTTCCCATTCCTCTTGTCAAAGGAATGGAACCAAGCGGATATTAAAGAATACAATGAATCCCACCTACCATAGGACATGCGCTGGGTTAGGTTCAAAAGTATCAGAATACAAAACCCATATGCATAAGCATTAACAAGAAGAATTCCATAAACATGGACATTAACAAGGTAGGGCCCGTTAATGATACAAAGACAAAACACTAGATCAACACCCCCAGTCTTCCAATTGCCAAAGTAGCCTCTTCTAGCACAAGCACTCGTTGGGATGTCATATAACCAAATCCCCTTACACGACAAAAAACCTATCACATAACAACAAACCATATAATTAGGTCCCATGGGATGTTTTAAAAATAGACATGGGGAGACCCCATTTCTCGACAAGTCTTCTATTGTAGGTAATCTTTATGATCTTGCTAAGGTCCTATCTTGTTAATGTCCACTTCTAATTGCATCCATCAATCACAAAACTCACCTTAGCATTCTTAGCAATCCCTGCATCATAAATAATCCTTTCCCCATAGATGTAAACAAGGGGGCCGTTCGGGTGTCAGTTATCAAACCAAAGAGAGGTGGTTTTTTTTTTTTTTTTTTTTTTTTGGGTAAGTAACCTTTAATAGAAAGGGGAAAGAATGTACAAAAGGCTTAAA